TCGAAGACCGAAGTCAATGAAGTCGTTACAACAACCACCGGGGCTACTGAGACGCCATCTGATTGATCAGAGCTCGCGTGTTCGCTTCCAGCGGGCAAGCTTGAGGACCCCGAGCCTGTAGCCGATTCCGACGCCGGGGCCGTTATAGGGCCGGGTACGGACATTGCTTTCACAGGCGTAAGGGCATCAGAGGTGTTTCTCAGAATGATCTGAACGTCGACGGTAGAACCAGCTTCAATGTCCTGGAAGCACTTGGACAGCAGTCTCTCGTTCTTGGATATGGATTCTCGGCATGCAGCCCCCAAGTTGTTAAGGAAGTGCTGGTCGAAGGCTTCCGGAGGACTAGAACTCGATGCAGAACCGGACATAAGGATTCAATAGTTAGTGGAGGTTGAGTGCAGACAGATCAGATAGATCCACGGGATCCGAACAATGGTTTGAACGGACAATATTTGAAACGGTCGGGCGAGAGCGAGCTTTACGCTACAGGGAGCGCACGCCATAAGACTGAATGGCTATAGACTCTTATCATGATCGCCCCTCGTGCACAGGTCGTTGAAGCGATGCCTCCGTCATATATTACGACCACCACTGTGATGAACAACCACAACTCCATCAGAGGTAAGGACCTATTTAATGACCTCATTTATACTTCATTTATTCCCATTGATATTTTTCCACTACACTGAGACGAACATACGAAACCGAGTATGATTTCACTCGACAGATTTCCATCAAATTTGAGTATATTTCCCTTATTTGAATTTTCAAGAGCGTGCATACCAGAATTTTGTCCGAAATATAATTTATTATTTCATCGTATTTTCACATTTCAACGGTTTTTAAATAGTTCATAACATGGACGATAACTTGATGCATTGGAGTTTCACGACTACCCGTTTTACGTGAAGTGGTGTAATACTCCTAGTGAAAATCGCGGCATGAAGTGAATCGAAAATACTTGGCGAATTACACCGGACAAATCGCCTCATATCGCGTAAAACACATACCACGTGTTTTACGCGTTATTCACTGCTCACATGCGTTTTTCGCGAAGTGAAATGTGAAATATGTTTTCCACTAGTGTTCTCCATATCGCGGCCGCTCGTGAAACCCCATGGATTTGATATTACGTTTGATCCTACCACTACTACGTTTTGATGAGTTTCTTCACCCTAGTGATATGGAAAAAACATATTTTACGACTATTGCAAGGTGCAAATATCGCGTAAAACGGGTTGTGAAACTCCAATGAATTTCAACGTTGACTTTTTTTCACCTTGTTCGCATTAGGTGCTCATCCTCCTCCCCCTCCTCAGCAGTTCACACGAAGGGTCAATCGCACTATAAAGAAAAGAAAAACCAAAGTGGTGATGGGGATCAGGTTTCCTCTTTGATTAGTCTCAAATACTGAATTCTTATGCTGTTGGTAACACTATGAAAACGACGAGGAAAATTCTTGTTGGTTTTTGTATTACACTTCTACTCGTATGGGAAAGTAATCTCACATATATTCCTCCAACGCCTTAGGAAGCGTTTTATTGATTATATTCAGGCGGCGCGTCGTCAACTGACTCGTGATGGCCTCAACCAGAGAAGTGGGGGGAGATTAATGTCGACATGCAAACGTTCAAATCGATCAGATGATCGATTTGAAAACCGACTTCGAGAGCTCAGCGGACCCGCTTTCGGGAATCCATGTTTAGTACACGACCCCATTGATTTAATATCACTGGTAGTATTAACAGAGGAAGTAAAACATATATTTTTACTTTAAAATTAGTGAAAAATTGTTATCACTTGGAAAGTCAACAAAGTTATTCGTTCGTTCGTACATCAGCTGAGCTCTTTAGTGAGTCAACATCGTCGGTAGCAATAGTAGTGAGAACTCAATATGGAATATACATTGGAGTTTCTTCACCCTAGTGATATGAAAAAACATATTTCATGGCTACTGTGCAGCACCCATATCGCGTTTTCCACCGACTTTTACGTAAAACGGGTCGTGAAACTTCATCATAGTTATTATGTATAGTATAGTTATTATATATTTGATTTCATAAATTCGGTTTCTCTT